TATTTATAAATCAAAGAACAACAGTTTTTGGCATGAGTGCAGAGAAATGGGACTATAAAATAGTTCTACCTCTATAGAAAACAGTATGGAGATTTCTCAAAGAACTATAAATAGAATTACTGGTTGACCCTGCCACCTGCTACTGAGTATATATCCAAAAGCAAACAAATCATTATATTAAACAGATAGCTGTACTCATATACTGATTGCAGCACTATTCACAATGGCAAAATCATGGAACAAACCTAAGTGCCCAACGACAATTAACTAGATGAAGAAAAGACGGTACAGACACACCACGGAATACTACACAGCCAACTAAATCATGTCCTTTTCAGCAGCATAGATGGAGCCAGAGAATATCATCCTAAGCAAACTAACTCAGAAAAAGAAAACCAAATACAGCATGTTCTCACTTATATGTGGGCGCTAAGTGGTCACAAAGACAGAAATAACAGACACTAGGGACACTCAAAGTGGGGAGGTGGAAAGGCGGGTTAGGGGTCAGAAGTCACCTATCAGCTACAGCGGTTACTATCTGAGGAATGGGCCATCTGAAGCCCAATCCCCAGCAGTAAGCAATGCATCCATGTAACAAATATACACTCACAGTCCCTGGATCCAAAATAAAAATAAAACAAAATTTAAAAAGAAAGAAGAAATCTCAGTGGCTCGAGCATAGTGATATGGGGTGAGCTGAACAGAACCTCTCTACGGCAATCTACATGACACATGATATAAGCTGTATAATGCCAGTCCCACAATATCTTAAATAAAATCTACATATTCCTCATTTTTTAAATAGAAGTAAGACAGGCAATGAGATGCCACATTCTCCTTCAAGGATGGCCCTAAAGAGAAAGTGAAGAAAGCTGGCAGAAATCTGTACTACACAAGAAATATCTAAATTTTCCATTTACAATGAATGTAAACAGAAATATTTTGCCCTCATCAAAACTTGGATGGAAGACAGCTTTCTTACAGAGATTCTGAAAACATGTAAATCCTCCATAAAACAGACTTGAATTGTTTCAGAATATAAAATTCAAATGACACACTGAATTGCTTCTGTTTAAGATAGCTAAGAACATTGGAGGTAAAATGATGACTTCTCTGAAGATCTCTAATGCAGATTTGGAAATAAAATTGTGTCTCTTGGACATTTTTTTAAGTCTGTAATAAACATCAGTATTATACAGTCTTTCAGGATGTATATATTCACAGGTTTTCTTCAAACTGATGTAGAGAGAAATGACCTCGGTCAAAGACCTAGAGATATTTATATATGTATACAGGCATATCTCGAAGACAATGCAGGTTCAGCTCCAGACCACTGCAATAAAGCTAGCATCGCAATAAAACAAGTCAATCAAATTCTCTGGTTTCTTCCAACACACAATTATGTTTCACTATACTGTAGTCTACTAAGCATGCAATAACATTATGTCTTTAAAAAGTACATATTTTAAAAAGTACACCGCGGGCTCAGTGGCTCAGCCTGTAATTCGCGCCTTTGGGAGGCTGAGGTGAGTGGATTGCCTGAGCCCGCGGGTTCGAGACCTGCCTGGGCAGTGAGACCTCATCTATACAATAAGTCAAAAAATCAGCCGGGCGTGGTAGCACATGCCTGTAATTCCG